GCTACTCCTGCTACTACTGGTATTACTACTACTACTACTACTACTACTACTACTACTTCTACTACTACTACTACTACTACTACTACTCCTACTACTACTACTACTACTACTACTACTACTACTACTACTCGTAGCACTGCTGCTTCTGGTCGCCACCCACAACGGCAGAAAGTTCTGCTGACTTTGCAGCTTTTCGCTGTGCTTGCTTTGTGCGGTATCTATACATTCCTGATATCAGGTCTTGCGCCAGCATGTTCCGACAGAGCTCGAGGCAACGGTAAAGGCAGCCATCGAGAACCTGCACGGCAGCGACTGGCAGCCACCTTCAGAGGAGGTGAGATTGGAGCAGTGGCTCCGAAATCGGCTTAATTCACCTGCCCGCAGCGGTTCTCTGTAAAGCACAGTGGCCCCTGGCGTATCTAATTAGTTTGTGAGTTTCTGGAGCTGATTGAAATCAGCAGTGCAGGCAACCAAAGGTCGTCACATGACGATGAGTTGTTTCCAGAGATCGCTAGCTATCCACACTGCATATACTTAGTTGTTTCAGACGAACTTGCCGCATGACGCATCCTGGTTGCTGAAGACCTGCATTTGCATGCTGGCGATTGGTCACGTCTTTAGCGAGATGGCTTCCGGCAGCTGTTGTGAGTTGGCATAGTGCATTGGCATGAGCACCGGGGACTTGAATTGAAGGAGCTGCCTGTGCCCGGACACTCAATAAATAATTTACCAATGTGTGCAACCGCCTTGGCTTCTGCCGCCAAGCTGCAAAAAAAACTGAAGCAGGAGCTCTCGGTTCACGGATTCTGCCTGGGTTAGGTGGCAATCTCTGGGGCCGTATATGTATATGTATATGTACATATATATATATATATATATCATGCCTAGCTGCAGCATTGCTTTCAGAATTGTTGTCAGATCATGAGCGCACAGCTGATGCACTAGCACGGCTTTGAAGTGCTTGCCAGGCGGATGACGTTTTTAATGTCGATCTTGGGCGGCGTGCCAAGCTTTCAGACGAGATCCTAAGGCTGCACAAGATAGAGTGGTGATACAAAGAGGCCTGTGTCGCCGGATATCTTCGAGATTGGCGACGAGGATTTGTTGGCCACAAACTCAGCAAGACACGGTAGATTGGCACAACAGAAAGCACCACATGGGTGCAGTTAGTGGAGAGAAGGGTGAGGAGTAAAACACGGCCGCTACGCCAACTCATGCATGCTAGGATCGGCTGCGTGGGTGCGCTGGATCTAGATAGTCTCTTCGTTCGTTGTCAATGCTTTTTACCCCGATAGCTTCTCCGCACGTAAGGGCATCTGTTGATGTATGACGTTATGCTCGTTTGGATGCGCTATTGGCCGTGAGATTGAAGGAGTCTGATGCGTCTGGGTATGAGCAGGTGTGTACTATGAAAGCCTGGAAAGTGACAACCACTAGTCCTTAGGGTTCCAATGACGGTCTCTGCGTGACATACAGCTCAAAGCCCTATTCCAGTTATCAAGGCCCCCATACTAGCATGCTACTTTGGTGAAGCTTGTTTGACTGGCGAGGCTCCTCTCTTCGAGCCTCTCGCAGAGGACTTGCCCACGCCTGCTCTGCACATTTCTACTGGAGCCTGGTAACCTTACAGGGTCTGGGAACATCATCATAAGCATAACCAGCTGCATGAAAGAGAACGAATCTCTCGAGACGTCATGGAAAGTGATCCAGCTTGGTCCGCGCTGGGGCTTTCAGCTTTAGAAAAGATTGCCGTCACCAATTCCGCAATCTCCAGTTCACAGGTAGTCGTAGTTCGCCCACCCACAGCCCACCCTACTGAAGGTGCCTAAATCGTTACCCAGACTATTTTGGGGGTTCCTTATCATCGGTATAGTATAATGGGCCCCAAAACCCCTGTATTACACAAGGATCCCATCACTTGAGGCCGTTATCTAGTTCGCAGCCATGAGTCTTTCGACCCAGCTGGACCACTTGTCAGAGCCTTGGACCACTGTGGAGGCAGCTTTTCGATTCAACCATCTTCGACACAAGACAGAATGACAATCATGCGGGAGATAGTGGTATGCAGGACCTTTTGCTAGCATATAGCCTGGTACTAGCAATGATCAGCAAGCAAATGCTGCAACCGCCTCAACAGTGTGGGCCACAGATGTGACCGTTGAGCTCTGGTCATCGTTCTTCTACTGCAGGCTTGGCTATGTGGGCTCGAAGAGGTCGAGGAGTATGGCAGGTCATGAGCTCAGATGCTGCCAGGTAATCCAAACATGGTGGAGTAAGTTGTCTCTGTGTGTGTGTGTGTGTGTCTGTGTCAAAGTGCAGCGTTTTCGTGACACAGGCTGCTTGTTTTGAGCAAATACAAACTCAGCCAGGCTCATGATCACGACAGCCGTTCTGCTCAAGCTTGCAGCTTTGTACAAGAAATGCGGCTGTGATTAGTGGGCTGGGGAACCATAGCCCTTCGCCGTGTAACCATCGGCGAGAGCCCGCCTTCATATCTAACGCGATGCATGCGATCAAGGCTGGCCACGCCCAAGCCCACATATAGCAAACAAGCAAGCTACATATTGTGCCTCAGCATATGAACAGCTGCAAGGAAGCAACACAAGATGGAAGCTGCATAAGATGCCAGTTTTCTGGTGTGTATCTGTATGTACACTTACACATACATACACAGATTATATGTATATATATATATATATATATGTATGTATGTGCTGTACTCTTTTTACACATGCATGCATGCATGGAGGTTCATACGTGTGTACATACCATACACAGGCATTTGCGTGCAAACACACACACACACACACCCTGAGAGTCCTCACCTGGAATATACATATACATATATATATATATATATATACATGTGTATATATATATATATACACACACACACACATATATATATATGTATCAGACTCACAAGGTTAGCATTCTAACGGTCCTCAAGGAGGCCCTGACGTGCCCGCGAGGTAATGGTGCTTCTCATCGTCTTGCACCTCGGTGCATCTGCCGCCCTGCAATCCAACGAGGTTTGTGCCTATCCGGACGAGGACCTTTCTGGAAGCGGAAGCGCCGCTCGGAACATCGCCGCAGGGTTGAACGTCTTCGCCACGTTGGTGGCCTGCATGTCACCGACACAGAGGCAGAGATTCAGTGCGGCTTTACACCTCGCGATGGCCTGACCTCTTCTGAGAAGAGCCAAGACTTACTTAGCTCCATTTGCAGCCTTTCCTTGAGATGATGTATGTCCGTTTGCAGCGGCGGCAGTGGTAGAAACAAGAGTGCGCAAAGCAGGAAGCTCATAGAGGGTTGCTGCTCCATCGTGACATCCTTGAGCTGAAGGTGACCTGTCCGAATAATCTCCACTTCACTTGCACCACCACCATGCAACAGCAGCCATTTGTCCAATATCAGCTTTCTCTTGACACCTCCGGAATTTGTTCTCACACCCTTGCGGCTTTCTTGCCATGTCTTGGGGTCCATGGGGCCCGCGGAAGGAGAGCAAGGGCAGCTCCGTATCCCCGCGGTCGAAAGAGCCGCGATCGGTGTCGCCCTTGCAGTCTCGGTGGTCTTCCGCCCGCCAGGCAGTGGAACGTACGGTGAAGACTGCAACAGCTGTCAACGCACTGTCTCGAGCTGCACGGTCGAATTCACCGAGACCACAGCCGGTTGGTTCAAGTGTGGTGGAGTGGGCGGACCACAAGCAGCTGAAAGAAATTGCCAAGGACCTCCAGCGACAGCTGCAACGAAAGGAGGCGGACACCCAGAGGCTAACGGAACGAGTACAAACGCTGGTGGTTTTGCGGGATGAGCAGCTGTCAGAGATTCAGGCGGAGAGCCGGCGTTTGCACTACGCTTTAGAGCAGGAGGAGGCGGGGCTAAGCGCAAGAACATCAAGCCTTGACTGAAGTCTTTTGAATCAGGTCGTGGCCTTCGTCTCGCTTTGGCTCGAGCTCTATACCTGAGTCAAGCACTGTACCGAAGCACTGAAAAGTCGACCTCTAGGTGCTCTAGCTGTAGGCTGCAGCACTAGGGAACACTCCGACAGCACAAGCCTCGCAGACACTGGCACAGGTCCTTCGTAGCATTCTTGCCAATGACCGCCGAACAGCCAGGTGCTGCGAACCATGCCTGGGGCCAGGTTTGCGAACATGACATGAGAGAGAAGAAAAGCCGAAATGATGCCGGTGGCCTCCTCTGGAGTCGTCGGAGTTGTCGGCCGCAAGTATCTGGTATGCAGGGACACCGAGGTGCGGCAGGCACCTGCGAAGACGAGCGCTAAGTTCCACGACCTGAAAGCTGGTCAGACCGTGGAGGTGCTCAGCGAGCCTCGCGAGCTGCCAGACGGCCGCCTTTGTGTGCCGATCTGTCCGAGAGGATGGGTCGATGCTGAAGTTCTTCAGGACTTCCCCGGGTCAGCAGAGATGGATCATCGGACCGACACGCCATCGCAGGATCCATTCTCCAAGCGAGACCCTCTCACTGCACAGGATCCGTGGTCCGCTCCTGGGCCACAACAGAGACGAGAAGACAGTTTCTGGGAACGGCGGGCAAAGCAAAACACTCCCATTGCACAAGCGCCATTTTCCATTCCATTTTTGGAACCCTGGGCAGAGCAAGACCCTCTCATTGCGCATGATCCCTGGTCTGCTACGAAGCCATTACAAAGAGGTGAAGACCCGTTTGCTGAAAGGGACCCATGGGCAAAGCGAGACCAAGATGAGTCTTTTGTCTATGTGCTATGCAGGGACACAGAGGTGCGACAGGCGCCTGCGAAGACGAGCGCTAAGTTGGGCAACCTAAAAGCTGGTCAGACCGTGGAGATGCTCGGCGTGCCCCGCGAGCTGCCGGATGGCCGCCTTTGTGTGCCGATCTCTCCGATAGGATGGGTCGATGCTGAAGTTCTTGATGCTCCGCGCGACCGGGGGCGAAGCAGCACTGAGGATGAATACGAGGATGATGTTTGCATTGTGTGCTATCATGGGGAGCCTGATGCTGCGATCGATGTCCTGTTGGGGGTGTACTCTGAAAGCGGTGAGCACCACGGACGCAAGACCTTCCAGAGATCTAGCGATGCAGGCAAGGCAGCATGCATCTACTACTTCGACGACTCAGAAGATTCGGGTGGCTCCGGCTGGTGGATCGGTTGCGAGATAGGTGGTGATGAGGTTTTTGCTTACTCTTCCGAGAAAAGTGTTGTGCCTCCCCTCGCCTCCTGGCACATACCGATTGATGCAGACGAGGTCAACAAACGATTCCGGGTACGCTGCGTGGTGCAAAACCTCGCTGGGAGCACCACTCCATGGGATCCAATGCTGGCCCACCTGGCCTTCTGGCCCCCCCTTGCACCAGGGCCCACGCCGAGGGTTGACGACTCAGCCTACGGACCGGTGCTCCGACTTGGACATGGTGATGTGGCTCGCCTCTCGGGTAGAATCCTACTGGCCACATCGCAGAAGCTCCACGATAAGTTCGAGCTGAGCTGTGAAGAGGTGAGTCTTGATCGACCAGTGAGGCTGCCAGCCAACGTGGTGCCAATGAGCCCCATCGTGGACCTCCACCCCCATGGCCAGGACTTTGGAAGAGAGCGAGTTCTACTCGTCCTCCCGGCTTGCACGGGTGCCGAAAAAGCATGGTGCTCCACGTCCGATGGCAGCTGGGAGCAGGTCTCTGAGGTGAGATTCCTCTCAGGATATGCGGTCCTCTGTTTGAAGCACTTCTGCCTCGCCTTTCTCGGAGTCGAGAACCCAGAGCCGATGCGTCTCAAAGTTCGGGGCTTCCTCGGTCATGATGAGCTAACTGTCCAGTGTGCTGTCCTGCATGTGAATTGCCCAGCCTGCAATCAACGGATCTTGGAAGACGGTCAAGATGCCGATGTTTTGGGCAGCTTTCGGGAGTGCATTTTGCCGAAGCCTACTGCTAACGTTTATGGGCATGGGGAAGAGATGGTCATATCTGCCGCGGAGCAGAATCAGCGGGTCTGCCTGCGATTCGATCGAATGCCATGGCTCAGCAGCTTCACATTATACTCAGACATGCCACCCAATTCCAAGTATCTGTAGATGGGGACCCACACACCTTTCGCCGACCTGATCCACCAGATCTTTTTCATATGAATGAGCATACACCGCAGATGCACATCTGCGCGTGTCGCGGCAGCAGAATTGAGGTGGTGGTGCCATCTCCACCCCAGGTGACAGAAGATGTTCATGTGCCCAGCATAAGCAGCAGTGCTGCATCTTTGCCGCCTGTCCCGCACACCCAACCGCCTCCACCTCCACCTCCGATGCCGCGACCGCCAGACCAGTCAACCTACACCGGAGGATACCGGAGGAGAATCCGAAGCTCACACACCACCTCCACGGCTCCCGATGCCCACCCATTGCCACCTACGCCCCCCTCTCCAGCGGTAGCTGAACAGCCGTGGGGCAGCGAAATGGTGTCCATAATGGAGCTCCTTGAATTGGCAAGGGCCTCCGTCAACCAGCGACAGCTACCATCTACGAGTTGCACACTGCCAATCAGCTTCGTCCAGCATGCGCAGAGAAGGGAACTCTTCTTCTCCGGTCGTTTCAACAACCGCGACATCAAGCGATACATGCGACGCGTGAAGGAAATGCTCGATGCAGAGAATGTGCCTACGTTCATGGTTGATGCTGGAGGTGCCGGTGGAACTTTTGGAAATATCGCCACACTTGGTCTCTACCGTGCTAAGGCTTTGCTGGCTTTCTGCACAGAGGGCTATGGTGCCAAAACGGGCGGCCAGTTGGAGTACGCCCATCAGAAGCATTTACGCATCATTCCCATCAAGCTCTGGGAGATCTATCCTCCACAGCCGGAGGATGAGCTCGGGAGAGCTCAGAATGAATTTGTATTCAGAGCAGATCTAGTCCGCATCGATGACGTGGGCATGCTGGAGCCATCACGGGTAGCGCAGGAGGTGTACCGTGCCTTCAGAAGCTGAGGGAAACCAAGTCCGAGTATGAGTAAGCAGGGGGCTACCGTAGTTAGGGGCCACGTTTAACAAGGATCCTATTTTTTTGATTTATACTGGGTGCTCTATTTCCAAAACCCCGCGCACCCTATGTGCGAAGAAGCCGCACCGGATGAGTGTGGGTTGGTGACTGGTGGGTGCACCTTTCGTTTTGAGGCAGAACAGCGTGCCCTTACTGTACTCTTTTAGTGCCCTGATAGTACTTGAAGATGCGTGGCTTCGCCTGGCAAGTCTGAGCTGTGACAGCGTCGAACACAACCTTCGGGTAGCAGTGAACCGAGGACGTATAGTAGAAGCCCAAAAGTTGGAAGCCAAATAGCCTCAGTCTATAGGGAATCCCAGCACTATTTGTCCTTAATCCGGTTTCCAACTTTTTGGGGGTTTACTATACGAACTCCGTAGGGTTGTCCAGGCTCCATAGCAGGGTCCCCGTAAAAGGTACCATAGGGTCTATAATAGGGTCGCCCCTTATGGGTATGAACTTCAGACTTGAGGGCCTAAACCCCTAAACCCTAAACCCTAAACCCCTAACCCCTAAACCCTAAACCCTAAACCCTAAACCCTAATAGGATTCCCCCCTATGGGTATGAGCTTCAGACTTGAGGGCCTGCAGAAGCACGTTGACCTTCCTCAACAGCTCCCGCCTTGCTGAATCATTTTGAGTGGGAAAGCAACATTGGGGGTTCCGAAAATAGGGGGGCCCTTATATAGTGCCCTAAATAGTAGGATCCTTTTTTATAAGTCGTGAATCCGAAATGGGGGTTTCCGAAAATAAGGGACCCTACTATAGTGCCCTAAATAGTAGGATCCCATTTTTATAAGGACCCCCTTACTTCCGGAAACTCCAACATAGAGAGACATGTCAAGCCGGGACCTGGTGGGGTCGACATACATAAAGCACCCTGAGCCCCCCAACATCATCTTCAAACACCTCGGAATCGAAACCCTGAAACAAAAAAACAGCGGCGGGGAGAGCATGGAGCTGGTGTTCCTCGATTCTGCGAGTCATGCAGATGCCTCACATGCCGAACCGTTGCAACAAAACTTAATCATCAGAATAGGGTTCTGGGGTAGATAATACTAAAATTATCATCAGGAGCCCCCAAAACCTCATTCTGACTGTTAAGGCTCTTACATTAGTATGCTTAGAGTCCGTGAGTTCTCAAGCCCTCAGTCCCAAAGGACCTCACTCTCAATCACCAACTCAGGCTCGACCCAGGGCCTCCAAAACCCTGAACCGAATCCCAAAGTCTGAGAGCTTTTAAACTTAAAGCCTGCGCATATCCTTATAAAGGCCTTCTCAAACCAGATCTAAATCCGAAAGGCCATTCTAAGACCCTGATACAACCCCATATGGAACCCTGTAAAGCTCCTCATGAGCCCACAGCTGCCAACACGAAACAAGGTTTTCTAGACTGTTTAAAAACCTCCCGCTTACGAACCCAGACCTCAAACCCGAAAGGTTGAAGGTTTAAGCCTCAAGCCCTATGTACAAAGCCCAAAAGCCTTTATGAACCCAGATCCCAAGCCCCCAAACCCTAAACCTTTCAAGCCCCGCCTGCATCGTTCGAGTCCAAGCCCCGAAAGGTTGAAGTGTATCGCCTCCGCGGGCGAGACTCCGAGCTGCACGAGGCCTTGGCGGCCGAGGCAAATCCTTGCACTCTGCTGCCCGCTTTTTAGGCAGTGTATAGATTTAAGTGTGCGTCTCTCTTTCTATGTGTGTGTCTCTGTGGGTGGGTGTGTGTAGAGTAAATAGTCATATATATATATATATAATCATATAAATATATACACACACACACACACATGTGTGTGTGTGTGTGTGTGTGTGCGCGTGCGCGCGCGGGTGTGTGTGTGTGTGACTATGTGTGTGCGTGCGCTTGTGCGTATACAGATGCATCCGACTGCAGTTCATAAGTCCATATGCAGAGAAATGAATGCGATACAAGCAGAATATGTAAGCAATCGAAGAAAGAAAAACATGTACTGTATATGTATATGTATTCATATATGTATACTTTTATCTACGTGGAACGCGTTTTTGAGGGGGTTCTTCATGCCTAAGTTTTTAAGCATCTCTTTCCAGTCTGCTTGCTTGTGTCTACCTGAGTCTACCTCTAAGGTTTTCCATGCCGTGTACAGACACGGAGATACACAGAGCAAACCCGACACCTTCGTTATCACATTTTTGACAGCCCTGAAAGAACCCTCATAGGCATCTTATACTCCCTAAGCACGAAACCCTAAACCCTAGAAGACCCTCTTACCCATTTTTCCCTGCGGTACTTCAGACCTTTTTGCCTGCATTAGCCCTCGGAGGTCTCCGGGCGACAGCGAGCTGAGCAGCAGCTGAGACAGCCCTGCAGGGACTGCGCCGAATACCGCGCGCAGCACACGGAGACGATGGCCGACTGTCAGAATCTACGGACGCAGCTGGTTGAGTTTGAGGCTCTGAAGCTCCATCTGAAGAATTCACGACTGGGCCAGGAGCGACTGCGGACTCGACTTGTACAAGATCTTACGCAGCTGTTAGCGCGACATCAAGACTCCCCTGCGAGCGGGGAAGGCTCACCCGACGCTGCAAGACATGCGCCTCCCCGTGCAGAGATCGCGGAAAAGTGCGACTTGCAATGAACTGCCCGGGCCTGCAGGATCTCCAGGTTTCGGGTTGAGGCCAGTGGATTCCGCTCGTGTCTAGCGATGTCCTTGTACGTGAGCTGTAGAGCGGCATTTTGAACACACCCCAGTTTCCTCTCGAAACCATTCTCTAATGAACGCCTCTCGTTATTTCCAGCTGATGCGGCCTTTATAAGTTCCCCGACCCAACAGTAGGGCCCGGATCTGTTTAGCTCAAGCTGAAATCGGTAGTAATAGCATCCCCCCAAAGTCCCACTTGCTTTCCTCTGCTAGTTAAATACCTCGAAGCAAGATTCCGAATCATCGAATCAAGGCCCCTACTATAAACACCCTCATAAGACCCCTATAAATCAAAAAAGACACCCTAAACCCTAAACCCAAAACCCCAAGCCCTTATATATAAACCCATGTGGGAGTCTTGTGAGTGCCGAGGCTCCCGAACAAATGCAGCAGCGAGCCTCCCCCGCATTCCGCAAAGGACTTACACGGGGTTGAAGGTTGGGTTTAGGGTTATATAGGGTTGAGGGTTTAGGGATGTATAGGTATGGATGCGCAGTCGTGAGAGCTGAACTTCTGTAGGCTCGGACATTCAGGCGATTGCACAAGTCCTGATGCAAAAAAGGGATGTATAGGGGCTACCAGTTGGGGGTAGGACGGATTCGATGATATTTGTTCGAAGCGGCACTGCCAGCATGAAGTACCGCCAGCCTTGTGAGTCACGCACATTGTCGCGTCTCTGCGCGTGGCATTGAGTGTTGTAAACGTCAGGTCTTTGATGAACGATCCGAAGACGAGTAAGGCAGGGGAAGCAGAAATGTTCTGCATGCAGGCACGAACGTCCAGGACTTGGGGGGTAGGACGGCTATGAGTGTTTTGGGGGGCTCCTTGGGGTCAACTGCCAGCATGATGCTTGAAAGATGCCTGAAACTGCAATGGTGCGTTTGTCTGCCGCCAAGACTGCCTAAGGAGATGCATGTTTCGGGACATGAGGCAGAGCATTTGGTACTGAAGCGTGCGCTGAACCGCCTCGTAAGCATTGCATGCCCCATCCATAGGCCTCGAACTACTTGTAAAAACTCACCCAGGGTTCATTTCCATAGCACCTTCCTGAAGCCATGGCCCATCAACCCGGCAGTTCTACAAAGAAGCGGCGCCGAGTCCTTCCGACAGCTGTGGTGTTATGCGTCGGTGTGGCTTTCGCGGTGTTCCGCGCAGGCGAGGCCTTTGCCGGGACTTTTTCGAAGTGGGCTGGCCTCCAGGGCCTGCAACTTCGGAACTTTCCGAACTACGGGGGCATGCGGGGTCACGCCACGCTCAGGCTGGCACAGGAGTCGGAAGTGCAAGAGATCAGATGGCTTGATCCTCTTGATGAAAAAGCCGAAGAGATTACGCCGGCAGAAGATGCGACAGTTCTGCCAGTCTTTCCCCTTGGCGGACCTTTCATGCCCTACACAAAGCAGTCCCTTCAAATCTTCGAGCCTCGATACCGGCAGCTCTATGACAACATCTTGCTGTCCGGATCGCGACGTTTCGTGGTCACTCCCGTGGACCCACGATCCGAGGATTCCCTTCGCCTCGCCGAAGTGGGAGTGGTCTTCTACTTGGATGACCTCAAGGACCTGTCGGAGCAAACCCAAGACAGGGTGAACCTGGATCCCAAGTAGCCTATCTTTTTGGGGCTCCTTATTACAGTTTCATTATATATAAGTCCTTAAAAGGGTAGGTTCTTTGGGGTTAAGGAAGTACGTGTGTGAGCACAGCGTCATCGGCCGGGTGAAGTTGAAGCGCGTCCTGAACCCGGCGGACTGGTTCTCGCGCTCCACGTACCTCCGAGCTGAGACCGACCCAGTTGAAGACACAGACACCGATGTGGAGTCCTCACTGCTGGAACAGGAGGTTCGGGGCCGCTCTAAAGTATCGTACCTTCTCGGTTCCTTTATTTTGCAGCTTTGAACGACAGATTGGATGACTCTATAGAAGGGAGCCCGATTCTAAGCACGTTTCCCAGGTGATGCAGCTGATGAGAGACTTGGTCCCTTTGTATGGGGAGCTCGGTCAGCCGACCTACGACGTGAGCCTCCTGGAGCGCAGGAATTCCAGCAGGGCAGAGGAGGGTGGGCTGTGGAGCCTGGGGGAGGTTTGGGTGCAACTCCTTGGGGCGCAGCTACAGACGAAAAGGAAGCTTTTCGAAGGTAGGCTGCAGGACATTCTTCGCTCCTATGCAAAATCGGGTCAGACTGAACTTCGCATAACAGATTTGCCTCCTGAGGCCTTAGCAGACATCAAAAGGCTGGAGCAGGAATTCCAAGCCATGGGTAACAAGATGGTGATGCAGCAACTCGAATTCGGCCAGTTGCTGATACAGACAGATTCCCACAGAGGACGCCTTGAGCAATTCAAGGGTGCCCTCGATGAGGAGTACCGCAAGCTCATAGCACAAAAGTCGTTGAAGTCCCTTGGAGACCGATGAGCTTCGCCTTGCGGCCTCGCCGAACCACTGGCGGTGCCCCAAAACTGGCATTCACTGCTTTCTACCTTATCATACGAGCAGATACAAATGCATATACTGTAACAATATATATCTATATATTACTATATATATATATATATACACACACTCTCTCGCTTGCAGCTAGTAAACGTCATGTATCGGGAAGTTTTCTGAGACGGCCTCGGGCTGAGGCATCTCACCCATCCAAGAGGTAGGAGAAGACGTGGGGCAGAGCCGGGCCTTGAAAAGGGCCGCAAATCGTATCAGTTCATAGGATCCCATCCCACATGTTTTCCAGCTTGAGGCGGGGAGCTCACGACGGAACTGAGAAAAAAAGGTCGCTCACCTGCTTCTTTTGACTCCTCGCAGCTGTGCAACGTCGCGTGCTTGCAGAAGCGACGTATGCCGAAGGCCGTGGCCGTGATGAGGCAAGAGATTGAAAAGCAGCAGGTCCGGGCCCTTTTTTCACCAAAAGCTCTTTGTCCGTCGTGCCGACCTGTGCTTCAGGTGGACGCGAGCCCGAGTCGACGCCATGGAGCCACCAGTTCCCATTTCAGAAAGGGAAGTCCCAGACGCCACGGCGCTGCCACCAGCGCGAACTGGCGACCCTCTGGGAGCCCACGGCGCCACGGAAGGAGCCCTTCCAAGCGGGCCGGCTACGGAGGCCAGTTTGGCGCCGGTGGCGGCTACGCCACGGGCTACAGCCCCACCCCATCGAAGACTTTGCAAGGCCAGAGCCAGAGTTCAAGAGGCTATGATTTGTTTGATTGGACATGCTGTTCAGGCATGGGCTACGATGAACCAGTGGACCTGACCGGTGACGGTGACGGAGGACTGCATTCTTGCTTCCTTGAAGTTGCAAGATTGCACCATATTGCACCGGTCTTTCCGGAAGTCCTGATTCCGGCGAAGCATGCTTTGGCACATTGAATGTCAAAGTCGAAACCCTGAAGCTGTGGGCTCAAGAGCTTTCAAGTACGAGCTGATTGACTTTGCCACTGTCTAACCGCCGTAGGCCACCTGGTTGTAGAATGGCCTGTTTGGCAGCAACAGCGGCGTTGTTGCTGGCTTTTCCATTTGTGGAGGGTGATGTCAGTTGCAATGCTGACAAGGCCCAGAGCCGTGGTCTGTTGCAAGTTGGCATGAAGAGCGACGCCTTCCCGACAGAGTCTACCTGGTTGCTTGGGGCTACTGGGCAGAGCTGCGGGGACGTTTGCGGGTCCGCTGGCAAGTTCTGTCACGAGTCCAGCATGTATGACGTCGACACCAAAGACGAGATGTTGGCTGCAGCCCGGAAAGTGGGCCACAATTGCACCAAGTATGGCTGGGCCTACGACAATAACCCGGGGATTTGTGTGGATTCCAGCTGCTGTGGTGGCAACTGCATCGGTCTCTGCTCATACGGGACGACCAAGGTTCGCACCTGCAGCGGGACCAGCCACTACGCGAGGCTTTGTGAGTGCTTTGCCCAAGCAGAGACCACCAGCACCACGACCCAAGCTGTGCTCTCGCCCTCGAAAGCCAAGCCTCCTGGATTTACACGCAGCCTCTTCCTCATGCCGCACGACGTGGAGCTGATGCTGCTGCTTGCCACCATCCCTGCAGCCTCGAAGACGGCTGGCGAGCCGGCGCTTTTGGTGATGCCGGAAAGTGGGAATGATGAGACGGCCTTCCTGGACTTTGTCGCGCAGTATCGCCCCGAGGAGACCTACGCCACCGGTAGTCTGAGTCTGGGCAGTCTGGAAGCGACGCTGGGGGATGTGAAGGTTGTGGGAGGTGGCACGCCTTGCGAGGCCTCAGAAGCCCTGGCCCGCAAGTTCTGGTCTCAGGCTTCGGAGCTGGTCGTGGCTCGCTGCGACGACTACCCCTCTGCGCTCATGGCTGCCCCTCTGGCTGCGAAGAAGTCTTCGCCGCTGGTCCTGCTCAGCCAGACGGTGGATCTGGTGCAGTTGGCTGGGGATCTCAAGGTGCAGACCCTGCTCTTCGTGGGCTCGGGTTCGGGCCCCGAAGCGCCAGGCCTGCCACAGGTTCACCTGCAGAGTGCAGAGGACGTCTTCGATGCACTGGGGAAGCCTGACTACCTTGCCATCGCCAACCCGGCTGATCGAGAGCTGCAGTCCTACCGTGCTACATCAGCCCTGGCCCCGCTCCTTGCGGCGCTCCGCGGAGGGGCGGTGCTTCCGCTCTCAACGGGTGCAACTTCCGCCAGCGACGTCAAGGAGGAGATCCAACAGTTTGTCCTCAGCAAGGGCATGCCCAAACATTTGGCCCTCGTCGGTGGACCCACTGCTATACCGCCTCACTGCCAAACAGGTAGGCTTTTCAACGAGCAGAAGTGCCGAGATGCCCCATACGCAGACTTGGATGAAGACATTTTTATGGACGTCGCATTGGGGCGCGTAGTCGGGCGCGATCTCTCATCCACAAGCCTGCTGCTTTCCCGCATCTCCAACTATGAGTACGTCCGGGACCCTGAGAGTGAAACGAAGTTTGCTGTCAGCGGGCACTTGAAGACTGCTATGGCCAACATCCAGCCCGCCCTCAGGAATGTGGGCTTCGAAGAGCCAGTGTCGATTGGCTTCAAGGAGCTTCACAACCTGAAGAAGATTCACGTCTCTGCCTTCCTTCACACAGACCACTCAGGGGCTGGGGGCATGGGTAATTCCCTAGACTTCACGTCCCAAATCCTGCTCAGTCCGATGATGGTAAGCTCTGGCGGCTGCTCAACCGCCGGGTTAGACGAGTTGTCGGACCCCATGCATTCCGTCGTGCTGACCATGCTGCACTATGGTGCCATTGGCTTCGTGGGAGGACCACGCAATGCCATCACAGCCTCCGGCCTGGTACACAGTGCCCTCTGGAACGGCATCGCGGAAGGGAAGAGCATTGGAGAAGCCTTCCTGGAGGGCTGGAACGACGTGGCTGTGAACTACAAGGACCAGGACGGCTACGTCCTGGCAGAATACGTGATGATGAACATCGCCCTCTACGGCGATCCCGCTTTCAAGCTCTTTGTCCCAACGTCTCCACAGCAGCCGCTGCCAAAAGTGATCCTGGACGGTGACACAGCTGAAGTGACAGGGCCTGGGCACTGGACGAAGTTCAAGGCTGACGAGCACGTGACAGATGAGTGGAACTGGGATGGTGACCTCTACTACTACGGTGCCGTCGGAGCCCTCGTGCAGAGGCAGTGGGTCGCAAGGTACGATCGTGAGTGGCCGTACTACTATGTCAGGATAAAAACTGACAAGTTTGTGCACGACGTGCTCCCTGTCACTCCCGTGCCAGCAGGCTTGGGCTACGTCGGAGCTTCCATGTCGCTGCGGGGTGAGTTTTCCGGGTCTGCAGGTAACAAGTGGCACCTGGACGAGCATGCGGATGGCACGAGGACACTTATGTGGCGGGTGCGGCTTCTGGACTACAGCTACGAGACGGGCATCATCAACAGCCAATTCCATAGCCAACGCTACAAGATCTCCTTTTCGGATATCCCCCTGTCGGACACCACCACCACAACCACACAGAGTTTGCCGGACCCAATCTCGATATGTGAGAAACAGTGCGAGGAGGATGGCTTCTGCTGTGGTTGGAACAGTGGCTGTGGACGCCCTAGCTGCGTGCTCGGATGTCACATCGCCGCAGAGTCCGCCGACGTCACCGTCTGCCAGGAGACCTGTAGGTCCCTGCATGATGGACAGGGCTGTTTCCCTATGGTTGCGGGTCGATGGGCCAATGTGTGCTCTTCCTGCCAGGGCTCCTGTTCTGGTCACTGCGAGGGAGAAGGCGGATGTGAACATGCGTGCTCCTTGATGGCCTTTGCCACAACAACGACAACCACTGTTGTGGTGGCGAATTGGGAGATTGCCCGTTGCCGCATGAAGTGTGCGACGGATGGCTATTGCTGCGACCGCGACAGTGGCTGTGCGGCCCCAAGCTGCAAGCTGGGCTGTGAGGTTGCATCAGTTTCACCAAGTGCTATGACATGCAAGGAACGCTGCCAAGCATTGACAGGGCACTGCTTTGTTGACCCTGTCAACAACAGCCTCGGTGATGTCGGTTTGTGTGGTTCATGTGGTGCCACGTGTGACGGACACTGTGAGGCTGCCGGTGGCTGTGAGCATGCGTGTGACTTTGTGAGCTACTAGCTCACGAGCACCAATCCTTCTAATTCCATTCCGGTTAACATGGTGTTGTGACATCTTCCATAAGGGATGAATTGCGCAGACGCAGAAAGAGCTTGCGTGATGGTACTGGGCCTGGCCTGCCACTGTGCGAGTGTTGGAGTCGAAGCCGTGAACATGGCCGTAAATTCGGCAACTACTGTTGTGCGAGTGTAGGAGTCGAAACTCGGCAGCTACAGTGAAACCGTGAAATGTCCCGCAGGATCGCCGGATCGGGGCAAACGGGCCAGCCAGGAGCCAGGGAAGGGACAACCTTGAATTTTGGGGAACCTAGTTAAATTCGGAGTGGGATCCCTAAGCCGCCTAAGCCCTACGATGCTCTTCACTAATCAGGAGTTTCAGAAACACAGGGAAGTCGCTATAGACCCAAGCTAGCGGCCCAGATTCGTGTAAAACTCTAGAAAATCCGGTAAAAGCTCGGCAAACCAACCCTAAACCCTAAACCCTAAACCCTAATGTATCCTGTTTGGTCGGGAGGGGAAGGTTGGAAGTCGATTTTGGGCTGATCAGGGAGGACTCCCTCGCTCTAAGGGTCCTATATAAGGGTATTATAATAAGAGAACTATAAGGGTACTATAATATGGGTACTATTGGGTACTACATGAAAAGCAGAGCTTTAAGAATCGAAGGCTGACTTCTGGATCTTTTCAGAGTTTAGGGGTTATGCAGGGTTTCGAGTTTCGGGTTTTTACGTGTTTGAGGTTGCAACGTGTGGATTTGGGGCCGGGGAGGGTTTAATTTTCAGAGTTTTAGCATCGTGTTGCACGTTTGTGCTGAGACGAGCCTGCAGACCTCCCTAAAGCCACCCGGAAGGTAGAGGTCCTGGGTGGTACTGGTAGGATCTTCTTGCATAAGCTTCAGCTTGTAACCCTGAACCCAAACACCTTGTTGAGCGTACTTATTGCGAAGCACTGCCTCCGGGAGGCAAGGAGCACGGCTGCTAGTTGCACTCAGTCATTCGCTTGGCTGTCAGTGAAAGGTGTAGCAAGAATAAGACTGACAAGCAATTATCATACTACTGCTGGTGATTTTGGATAGCGAAGGAAGCCAGCAGACATAGATTATCAGAATAGGTCGCGGATTCTGTTCATTCCTTGTCAGGCCAGAAGCCATGGGGGCATATGGCTCAAAACTACCGGTCGAACAGACAGATGTGTGTAGTCAGTTGGTTGGCATGGGAAATCAACTCTTGCGTTCCATTCCTCATCCTTGCATGTACACATATAACTTCTGAAGCATGCATGCCAGTTCCTCCTGGGCTGCCTATCCTCACTCACCCCAGCCAAGTTCGTCAGACGCATTCCGTTATTTGGTTCCTGTTCACCTCGCTACGCTGCAACACCATGGCGGCATCCTTCCTGCCGCTTCACAAGCAGGCGTGGACGAATCTAGCTGCCAGGCCTTGGTAAGTGCCGTCCCGAGTCCCCCAGTGAGCTTCTTTCTATCCGTGATGTGTCCCATGCTTCTTCTGGCCGTTATTTCTGTTATCACTGCATGCTGTCCGTTCCTACTTACCTGTCCGTAATTCCGTGATGAAGGTTCGTATAGTGGTAAGCATGTATATGTGGGTCATTTTCCATTGTCACCCTTACGGTAATCCTCGTCCTCTAGTAGGGTTTTGGGGCTTGGAGCGTGCTTGCGGCTTAGGTTTGTTTGGCTCTGCGCTTCGGACCAGATCGGAACTGACAGAGACTCCAGCATCAACCCCAAGCCATACCAGAAGCGAATCTCACGAGACGAATCTAGGACCACGATATATGGACATACTCCTCATGCTACTATTCATTCCGTGTGTGTTACGGCGTTACGCTTCTTCTTTGTATTATTGCCTCGTATTTCTGCATTGCCTGTTATGTAACTAACTTATATATTCAACAGCAGTGAGATTGTCATCGCTAGTTGTTACCATTGTTGTTATGTCTTCTTGGGTCAGGCACCGCCGCGGTCAAACTCGTTCTCGAAGCTGACTGCTTCTCCCGGATCGCGGCCAGACACGCCCGGACAGATTAAGTGGCTCAGCACCTTCACTAAGGTTTGGGCGTTTGGAGCTAGGTTTAAGACGTCTGCATCTGTCACTGCTGTGCATGTGAGGCTAGATCATCAAATTGGTCTGTACTTAATCTCGGGAAGGCTCCTCGGGAAGGCTCCTCGTTCAGTTCCGAGTCGAGCTTAAGACAACTGTTACGGCGTACCCTGCCAAACTCCGGGCAGGAAGAACATGCTTGTGTGGCTTGTGACCCGCAGCTCACGGGTGTGTCGCTGAGGCGAGTATCCCGGCCTTCGTCGTCTTCGTCGACCAGAGGAGGCACTGACCTGCCGGCTCCTGCGCTGCATCCTTGGTGTTGACTCGGGAGGCACCATGGGCGCCTCGCTTCAATATTTGCCACCAGAGCCCTCTTCTTCGTCTTCCCGGCCCAACTCGTCGTCCCGGCAAGGTGCACCTTGTGCATGTGGATGATCGAAGTATTGCAGCAATGTGTTGTCTTGCAGAATAAAGTAAGACGACGATCTTTCTGTGCAACTCATAGAGGCACTCTTGCAGCGTCGCTTCATCAACCGTTGCCCGAGCCACCAGCTCCGTCTGCAGAGGCGAATGAACGGTGGTTTGTGACCGTAATTCTGGAGAGCTTGCTTGCATTCTTGCTGGTTCCAACTTCGCAGAACCTAGGAAGATTTCTTCACAGTGCTGCGACTGTAACCTGCCCAGAGCTCACTTACATCTCCATCTACAAGCGTCTACAGGCTTTGCTGCTGCCGCCGCCTGTTCAGCACAAACCACCCCCTGCTACTGCCACTGAGTATGTTACTGTGAAGTGCCACCTTGCTACTGCTACGGCTGTAGCTGCTGCTACCTATTACTATTGCTATTGCTGTCGCCATCACGGCAACGACGACGACGGCGACCACTGCAACTACTACTAGTACTACTTTTACCACATTGTGCTTGGAATTTAGACCAACATTTGATGGAAATCTTGGCAATCTTCGTCAGGGGGAAGCAAGATTGCCAAGCAATCTTGGTTATCTTACCCTACTTGCACCACTTGCTCGCCGACTAGTTTACCTTTGGGGACCAAGATTTCAAGATTGCTGGCAATCTTGCTCCACCCCCTTGCCCCACTTGCTCACCGGCTAGGTTACCTTTTGGAGACCAAGATTGCAAGAATGCTTGGCAATCTTGCTCCTCCTCTTGCAATCTTGGTCTAACCGGTAAGCTAGTCGGCGAGACCAAGGTTGCAAGCTAGCTTGGCAATCTTGCTCAACTATTTTTCTAAGTTCCCGGCACACTGTACTGCTACTGCTGCTGCTACTACTGCTGCTGCTACTACTACTACTACTACTACTACTGCTACTACTACTACTACTACTACTACTACTATAGGACGACAACAACAACTACTACTACTACTACTACTACTACTAGTAGTAGTAGTAGTAGTAGTACTACTACTACTACTACTACTACTACTACTACTACTACTATTACTACTACTCGTACTATAGTAATACGACTCCGACTCCGACGGCGACGGCGACGACGACGACGACGACGACTACTACTACTACTACTACTACTATAAGTACTCGTACTATAAGAATACAACTACAACGATGACGACGACGTCAACAACAACAACAACAACTACTACTACTACTACTACTGCTACTGCTACTACTACTACTACTACTACTACTACTACTACTACTGTTGCTACTGTTGCTACTACTACTACTACTACTACTACTACTACTACTACGGTGACCCTTTTAAAATATGTGGAGGGCGGCCCAGGCCCAAGGATGACAGAGGTAGTGTAAATGACCTGTTTAAATCCGAAAGTTTGAATATCTACTGCCCTCCTTCACTCCAAGCCCTCCAGAACTCCAGCCTTCCAGCCCTCCAGCCCT